TGTAAAAATAAACTGTTATATTAATTAATAGTAATAATAAAAGCAAAAAAATAAGTAATTTCACTGAAACCATAAATACATCAAACTCCCATTATGAGAAGGTGCGTGTTCGCTGTGTATGTAAGACTGAAAAATACTGAGACAGTCAAAATATTCAAAAAAGGTTTAATACAGGGCCTCCCTGGTGACCTAGGGGTTAAGTCTCAGCGCTATCACCTGATCTGCCTGATCAATCCCCAGTTAAAGAGCTAACCCATATATGGAGCAGCAGGCCACTCCGGTCTTACTTTCTGCTCCCCTTAGCAGTGTATTTCAGTAAAATCCACTTGTTTTTCCCCTCATTTTATCTCTCATAAATCCTCTTACTCCCACACCTCTGCCCTATATCCCAGTTCTTCTATGCAAAATAAAAAGAGGTTTAACACAATGCTGTTTCAAGATGACATGCAGTGTTCAACAATTTAAAAATGAGACAGTATTATATAAAGTAAAATTCATACTATCAAAAATCACTGTAGGACTAGACATCTTGAAAAGTATTTTGTGTATTATCTATTATTTGTCCTTCTCCATAACAAAATCTACATTTGAATCATTTAAAATACAAACTACATTTTTCCTACTTTCATGAACAAGCTTTACTGAAAATAATTCAACCTTTGATGGCTAAGAGTCATAGATAGACAGGGATATCCTTGATGGTACAAGGGGTTACCATCAGCACTATGAAGTTGTCCACAGCCACTACAGCACGAGTTCAATCCCTGGCCAGGGAGCTGACCCACGTGGCGCAGCAGACCTAACCTGACCCACCCACTACTCTCTTCAGTAGTGTATTTCTGCTGTTCTGCTCCTTGCTCTGTCTCTAGTAAAGCCTCGCACTCCCCTGTACTTCTGTTCTGTACCCAGTTCTTGTATGCGTAAGTAAATCTTTTTTAAAAAGTCATAGTAGACAGAAATTATAGCTCTAAGCTATAGAACAATGATGCCTAGGCTTAAAAACCAGGAGGGCAAGGCTATGTCCATATATGTTAATAATCTCAAATTACTGGGAGATAAGGAATTATATAGTACATTTTGTTTTTTCTTTTATTTTGTTGATCTGTCACACCGACATATCATACTACTATAATACTGTAAGGAATAGGCCATGTATCAGGAGAGGGTCTAATTCTGATAAAGTACCCACTAAATGTAAATAAAGCTAAATGTTGCAGTACATCTAACAACTGGCCTGGCGTGAAGCAGAAGATGAGAAAACATTTGGTAAGTGAAAGCCATCAATGTGCCTGCCTGGGCAGAGCCTGGCCAGTTTCTAATCTGACCTGACTTGGAAAACAGCTATCCAGATATCAAGCAACAATATTAAAATGTGTCTGGCATGGTACTTTGCACAAAGTGGGTGGGTAAAGCCTGGCAAAATTGCATATGCTGAACTCGACTGAAGATATTTACTAAACTTATATATATTAAGTAAGCACTTAACAATATGCCAGAAACTGTGGTTTCTTATACACATTACCTAAGACAACGCCTACAATGCAGATATTATCCCCATTTTTGAGATGCAGAATTTGTGGTGCAAAGTGGTCATGTTTATACAAAGCTGTGCAAAGCAGTGTGATTCCAGACAGTATGAGGGCGAACTGAAACAAGTAGTTTTAAGCATAATACTATAGTGCTTCTGAATAAGTGTACAGTAAATAAGTAAAGGTTAGAAGGCATGAAATATGTATACAGTAACTTTATTCTTCCTAATAAACCATTCTTTGCTAACATTTTGACTCTCAGCTATATTCTCAATTGGTGAGGTCACTGTATGTCAACATTATACTAACAAACCAAAGCAATAAACTGAAAACTAGGCAAGCAAAGTATGAGTTCAGCTACTGTATACCACAGATGGGTTCAAAGAAGTAAAAGCTTGAGAGATCTTTGTGTTTTAGGGTCATCAGGGAGGGCTTTAAGAAGTTAAGACCTGAGCTCAAGCAGTATGAGAGAAAAAGAGGAATGGGAGAGAAAAAGGGGTATTTTACAGCTTAAGAATAATCACAAAGCCACTGTGAAATTGGAGGTGAGGGGTCATAATAAATGAATAAACATACATGTGGTCTGGAACATTTATATCCGCTGCAGCTGTAAGCTCCTATTCCTGCCAGATTTACTTGATCATTCAAGCAGCTGGACAAACAGGGTTGCAGACGGCAGCACCAGTGGGTTAGGAAATGGTAGCTAACTCAAAGGCCAAATCTGAAGCTACAATTCCTTGCTCTCTCTACATTCCAGGTGCCTTGACTTGAGGAGCATGAGCACCCTCTACTACTTCCAAACCTTAAAAAGGAGGATTTGATGACCTAGGGATTACTTAAATACATGGTCTCATTTGCTCAGAAATCTTTCACTAGGTAAAAGCAGAATCACCTCTAATTAATGACACACCTACTGTAACTAATGTGTGCAGATCCTCCCTGCCCCTAGGAGTCACAGGCATGAGAGACTGGGGCAGTGCCTGTGTCTACAACAGGAGGAGTCAGCTCTCTTATTGCAGGGGATTGGGAGACCATCCACATTTTATGAGGGAGATGGGACATTTTAGCCAAGAGGTCCAAAATAAAAACATTGTACTCAACAGAAACTCCTAACCACCTGGTACCTAAGTCAGCAAACAGTTCATTAGTCTGAGTGGGAGCCCTACATGTAACTTGACTTGTACTTGAAAGCTGAAGATATGTGAAAGTGTCTCACTTCAATGGCATATACTGGGGGTTAAGGTGCCTGGCAAACCTCCAAATGTTTTGTCATTCAACTCATTAGAGAGAGGCACCCCTAAACTTGGTAGTCTTTCTCTCATCTCTCAGATGTCAGAAGTGCAAAAGGAACAAAATAATCCAGGTAAGACTCAAAACCCAATTCATGCATTGACTATATATTTCCTGAGCACTTCAGAGTTGTCAGGCACTAATCCAGGAATTGAGACTAAGTTACTCTGTAAAATGGAGGTGTACCCCTCCATTATTAGTTCCCTTTATCCCACCCACCCACTCAAAGCTCCAGGCAGGAAGTTCTTCTAAAGCCCCAATAGCACCAGATCATTCTCCTTTCCCAAGTCTGTGCCTCTGGTCAAGCTGTGCACACCTAGGACACTCTCCCAGTACTTAATCCTGATCCTCTCGACCTTCAAAGTTAGCTGAAGTCCTCCCCTTTCTCCTCCTGTAAGTCCTGATTTCCATCTCATCCCAACAATGACTCTCTGAACTACTAACAATAACACGGACTACCACCATTAGCTTATTTACAAATGTATCATCCTCTAATTAACACTTATATTTATTCAATAAATTCTGAATATCAACCGTGTACTGGCACTGTTACAAGGGCTGGAGACAATGCAACAAACAGTACTTGTTTTGCCTCCCCAAAGCCTCTCTCCTACAGTTCTTCTCTTACCCTGTTTTTCGAAAATTTCCAGTATAGATCTGGGTTCATATTCAGTGTCTGATAACCGAATAATTAATTAGAGCCTTGGACATCTTTGGTCCAACCTCACTCAAACTGAAGTAACATAAAATAATGGGGAACAAAAGCAAACGAAGCCATTTCTAAATGAACTTCCACTTCTTAAAAACCTCAAAAGAACAAGGAAGGAAAAGAAAACAGGCTATGAAAGCAATGCTGAAACAACACATTTTACTTACACCGACAAAGCAACTCCAATCCCCACTCCAAATCACAAAAGTGACCTTTTCTTTCAATCCTTACTGTTTCAGATTCAAGTGCTTAAGAGACCTTGGAAAAGTTTAAAACGCCCCTCAGTTTCCTAAACAGGTCTTTCGAAAGCTTTGTTCATAATGAATAACCCCCCTGATAAATCCTGCATACGCTACTTAACAGACTAATCCAATGAGGTTCACTGCAAGGAAATAGACTTGAGCTTCACTCACAAGAGAGGCTCAAAGAACACTTTTGAACACGATAAATCCAGAGACAATTTTCATATAAACAACAAAAGCCAGGTCCTGCTGAGGCTGGTGGAAGGCTCCAAGTTCCCAAAAGAAGGGAACCGGAGAATTTCCTCCAAGGGAGTCGCGAGATCCTGAAAGGCGTGAGAGTTTCTACAGGAGGTGAGGGAGATTTAAAAATATATATGGTTCTAAAGTGATCTGAGAGATACGACAGTTGGCACGCTATAGCGGGCGAGGGTGAAGCCTGGCTGTGCCATGCGGCGGAGGCTGCCACCTGGGCACTCCCACCATTCTTCACAGCCGGGTCGGGACGCGAAACACGAGAGCCGCGCGCCTCGCCGACCTACACCAGTGCCCCCGGCCCCTGGGCCACCTGCTCTCGCCCCAGGACACCTTGCAAACCCACCCCGCCCAGGTCTCAGGAGCCCCGACCTCTCTGGGGACCTAACAGACAAGTGGGAGACAGGGGGTCCAGGCGGCGGCCCAGCCCTGGCGCGTTACCCACCTGAGCAGACTGGAGAGGGGGTGACTCGAGGAGCCGAGGCCGCCGCCACTGCCGCCGCCACTACCGCCCCCGGAGCCGCCGCTGCTGCCGCCACTGCCCCCGAAGCCCGAGGAGAGCCGCTTCCCGGACAGCAGCTTCTCCACAGCCGGGAGGTGCCCGGTGCGGGCCGCCTCCAGCAGCTCCTGCTCCTTCCCCATCCCCAGGGTCGCCGCCCCCTGGATCCCCTTCCCGGGGCTGCCGCGGAGCCTGCCCCGGTTCCCAAACTTTCCGTCTCCGGGCAACGCACCCCCCAAACCGGCCGGGGGCACCCCCCCCCACCCCCCTCCCCCCCCGCCTTTCCCCCCCCGCCGTTGCGTCACTTCCGGGATCCGGCGTCACGCGTCACCGCGCCCCCTTGTCCCGCCCCCTCGCCCACCTAGCTGGGCGGGGCTACGCGGGCGGGCGCAGGTTGCTCTGACCGGCAAGTAGTGAACCCTTCTAAGCAAAGATAGGCATCTGGGAGCAAGGCGAAAGTGCCATGTGGGCATCCGCTGCACAGGTGGAAGGGAATACACAGGACCTACCTGTGTGTACCTCCCGAAGTGTGCTTCTTCCCCAAAGGTTTTGGGAGCCCACAGGACAGGAAATACGGTAATTCATCCAGGCAGCGTAGAAACAAAGAGAAAAATGTGGTAATGCGCACGATAATTTCTATGTCCGTTTTTTCAACATGAATAAATTTAATATGTAGTGGTATAAGGGTCTAGCGATAGAGGGTGAATAAAATGCTTCCCACAATACCTCAAGGAGGAAACTTTTTTAAAAATAGCAACATACCTACTTTTTCATGTTCCTGATATAACTTGTTAAAGTGAAACGTTCATAAGAAAGACGCCCACCCCTCCCCCCCGTAGAATTCATTTTCTTTTACTTTGATGAGATTAACCAAACTGTCATAAAAGGTCAGGTTTGTGAAATTGACTTAGATCTGGACTGGTGAATTAGAAAAATCATAATTGCATAGCTACCATGTCTGTTATGTTTGTGGTGCTAGCACTATTCTGGAGTGCTAGCTCTAGAGTTGTGGAGTAAATTAATAGACTGGATAAATTTTGTTCAAGTAATAAGGACTTTTTTTAGGTGCTTGTAGAACAGAAAAAAATACTGGTAATTCGATGTAAACACGCGTGCCCCATCTCTGTCCAGATGAAATGAACAAGGTTGACTAATCCGTCTACCTGTAGCCACACCCCGACACCGCATGCAACGGAAATGAGTTTTCTCCCGTCTCCAAACTTGAGACGGGAAAGTTGAAGAAAGTGAATTAGTGGTTAACCGGCATGGCGACGTTTAAAGTGTAGAAAAGAAAAAGAGTCCCTCGGTAAACACACAGCTCCCTTTCTCAAATGCTGGTTTCCAGAATCCACAAACTGAACTCCACACCCTCAATTTTCCCTCTCCTCATCGCCACCAAATCAGAGTCAAAACCCAGCCTTGAAGTCCTCTCCGCGCGCCTCCAAGTGACCCCTCCGAGGAGCAGTAGGATGATGTCATCGTAGCGCGACCAAAGGAAGTAAGTTTGTGGGCTGCAGTACAGTGCATGGTTCTGAGCTCCTGAGTCTTGACAGCAGCGTGATCTTCTTTCTCCTCTTCTTTCAGCTATGGACAATGTTGGCGAGTCCCCTCTGGAAAAAGGTGGAGAGACTGGGGAGTCAGATGAGGCGACCGCTGCTCCTGGGGGACCCGTGCCTACTGACACCGACGCAGTCCCGGAGGGGGAAACTGAGGGGGACGGAGAAGGGGATTTAAAAGAAGCCGCAGCTGAGGAAGGCGAGGTAGGAAGCGAGGCCAGAGTAGTATCCGAGACTGTGTTACTGGTTGCTTTACCTGTGTTTCGTTGGACCCTCGTAAGCTACTCGAACTCGCCGGGACTCCTAGCTCTGAGATCGCGGAAACGGGACGAGGGTGGAGGGAGACTACTGGTTGGGTGCCGGAGACCCAAACGGCGGGTTAATGTTTTAAATCTCTACTCTTAGAGGTTAAAGCTACTTCTAAGGGAACTTTAAACAATATCTTGGCTTTCCTGGTGATGAAATTGAGGACAGTGGCAAGAGCTAGAACCCAGGATTCGTAGTACCCCTTTCCCGTAGATTTTACTGAAACATAAAATACTGTACAGGCTGAAGAGTTGATGAGACCCGTTTAAAGGGAGACTTTAAAGAGAATCCCTGCGTGTCGTTCTTGTCCTTTTGGGACATTTAAGTGTCCCAAAATTAAGTGTTACGGATGATGTGGAATCTTACTTCCAAAGGCCTCTCTCTATAGCACAAACATACCAAAGCCATCAGTTGGGCCACCCAGGAGCTCAACAGTGTTGTCTAGCTGAACATGAGCCAGAATCTCAGTGCTGCCTTGATTCCATCTCGAGAGAGAGAACCTTAAAGATGTAAGGAACTAGATCATGGGGCCGGAGCATTAGATAAAGATAGAAATAACCTTTCTATCAAAATTGCACCAAAAAAATACATAAAATAAGAATTTTAGATAAAGCATAATATGATGAAGCTATTTTTAAAAGGAACCTTTGAAACAGCTCTCAAAGATAGAAAGGATTTGAATAATATTAGTGTAGTCCAATAAAGATTTCACTGCATGCAGAAATTTGGACCTAAAATTTTTTGATGCTTCTATAACATTTTTAAAAATAGGTCATATACCAGACCACAAAGGAAAGTATTAATTCTTACATCTGTGTACACAGAGGCAAAAGAATTGGCTCCATAGGGACTTTTCTGACTTCCCCTCTGAAGAGTAAGGTTAGAAGAGTGAGCTCAAAAGAGAGTGGTTTTCATGGTCCTTGGGATTTCATTTCCATTGTAAACATACTGGAGCTGTGATCATAGTTGAACTGGATTATTGGGCTAGTTTTCTTCTTATAGCTGTCCATAAACTTCTCTAGGAGAAATAGTGTATCTTACATTTGATGCTACAGCCAGTGCCTGGAACCAGAAAAGTAGTGAATAAATGGTTTATTGTAATGAGAATGATTTCTTCTTGCCCAAGTCTGGAAAGTAGGGCAGAAATATAATAGGGTTTCTTTCATCTTCTCAGGTTAAGAGTCAGGACATCTCAGATTTAACAGCAGTTGAAAGAGAAGACCCATCTTTACTTACTCCTGCAGCCAAAAAACTGAAAATAGAGACCAAAGAAAAGAAAGAAAAGAAGCAGAAAGTGGATGAAGATGAGATTCAGAAGATGCAGTAAGTCACTTTCTGACCTTTCCCCATTTTAAGGCTCTTGCTTGGCCACACAGAGTTAACAATTTTGGGTCCTCCCTGGTGGTGCAGTGGGCTAAAGCCCAGCACTATGAAGCTATCGCAGGCACTGACGCACATGTTCAGTGTCTAGCCAGGAAAGTGACCCACATGACATCTCCTGTCTCATCTACTGCTCCTATCAGCAGTATATTTCAGTCAGTCTGCCTGTTCTGCTCCCCACTCTGTCTCTGGTGAATCCTCTCACCCCCCACACCTCTGGCCTGTACCCCAGTTTTGTATGTATAAATAAATCTTTCAAAGTTAACAATTTTTCTTAACTTTTAATAACTTTCCTTTTTAAACTCAAAAGAAAATAAAGCAATTAATATATTAGGCTACATGCTAGAAAACATAAATAAGTAAAAGAAAACCTATCACTTTAATACCAGAGATAAAATATTGCTACTGGACCCAAAAAGAGGTTATACCAAAGATAAATATTTCAAGCTTTAGTCTCTAAAATGTTTTCTATACACATTTATCTATAAATAAATATTTCAAAGATGCTATATATTGTTTGTATGCCTGCTTTTCACTTATGTGTGGTGAATGTTTTCCTTGTCATCAGTTGTGTATCTAGGTGAAAGATGATTTCTTCAAAATGGAAATTGCTTCACTGTATTTTCTGATTGTAGGAATAGTATGGGCTCATTGCAGATAACTTAGACAACATAGGAAAATATTACCTATAACCACACCATTCAAAATTTACCCTAATATAGATTTGGGTACATACTTTTTTAATATTTCTCTATTATGTTTGATATGTTCAGATGAATAGTTTTATGTCAGTAACAATGCCCATAAATCATAATTTAAAAAATTTTAATTGAATGTTTAAAATGACGATCACTTTTTGAGGTAATACTGTTTTACAATACTATATGTGATTCAGAGGTATGGGATCACACCTCTTCATATGTTCAGCACCACCCACTTCCACCACCATATCACCTGTAGGCCTTCACCATAGTTCACTGAGCCCCTCCACACTTGGTTCTCCATCCTCTCTCACCCATTCTAGTAGCTTTGGTTTTACTGACAGAGTTATACAGTTACTGGTTTGGCTTTGATTTACCCTTTGTTTTGTTTCTCTGTACACATATGAGCAAAACCATGTGATATTTGTCTTTGTCCTTCTGACTTACTTCACCTAGCATCAGTTCCATCCATATTGTCACAAATGGCAAGACTTCATCTTTTTTTTTTAATCACTGAGAAGTGTTCCCACACACACACGTACACACACATCTTTTTAATCTTATCTGTCTGTGAGCACTTGGGTTGTTTCCAAAACTTGGCTATTGAAAAGTAGTGCAGCAATGAACATAGAAGTGCATATATCCTTTCAAATTAGTGCTTTACATTCTTTAGGTAGATACATGGGAGTGGAATTTCTGGATCTTACGGTAGACTATTTATAATATTTTGAGTAACCTCCATAATATTTTCCATAGAGACTGGACCAGTCCACATTCCTACCAATAGTGTACAAGACACCTGTTATCTCTGAACTTTTGATTTTTATTTTCATTTTCCTATGATAAGTGACAATGAGCATGTTTTCTTTGGAGAAGTAACTGTTTAGTTCTTCTGCCTATTTTTGATTAGATTGTTTTCTTTTTGCTAAATTATGTAATTTCTTTATATAGCTTGGATATCGATCCCTAATCAGATATATGATACATTCAGTAGGGTGTGTTTTGTTTTAATGATAGGTTTTTTTTTAAAGATTTATTCATGCATACAAGAACTGGGGTACAGGCCAGAGGTGTGGGGGGCAAGAAGGACTTAACAGAGACAAATGGGAACAGAACAGGCAGAATGACTGAAATACACTGATGAGGGGAACAGTGGATGGACAGGAAAGGTCTATTGCACCATTTGGGTCTTAGGGCTGTACTTTAACCCCTTGAACCACCAAATAGGGCCCTGTTTTACTGATGGCTTCTTTTGCTGTTGAGAAGCCTTTTAGTTTAATGTAATCCCCTTTGTTTATATTCCCTTTTGTTTCTCCTGCTATTGAAATCAAAACCACAGAAATCATTGAAGCAAATGTTATACAATGTTGTGTCTATTTTATCCTAAGTACCATGTGGTTTCAGGTCTCACCTCCAAGTCTTTAATATTTTTTGAGTTAATTTTTGTGTAGGGTGTGAGATAGTAGTCTAATTTCATTCTTTTGCACATGGCAGTCAAGTTTTCCCAGCACCATTTGTTGAAAAGACTATCCAATGATATGCTTGTTTCTTGTGTCATAGATTAACTGTTCTTATATTTACAATTCTATTTCATTGACCAGTATCATACTGGTTTAGTTACTATAGCTTTTCAGTATAGTTTGAAGTCTAGGACTGTGGTGCCATCATTCTTTATTGTCAAGATCATTTTAGCCATTCAGAGTATTTTGTGGTTCCATAGAATTTCAGCAATGTTTGTTCTATTTCTTTGGAAAATGCCATTAAAACTTTGATAGAGATTGCATTCACTATATTGCTTTGGGTAAAGTGACCATTTTTAGTGTTAATCCTTCCAGTCCGTGAGTGGGGAATACCCAGTAAAGTTTTTCGTGGCTATATTGTATTCCACTATGTGGAAACCATAATTTAACTATTCTCAATATTTGTTTGGTTTGTTTCATTTCTTTCTTTCACTATTATGATTAGTATCTTTGTATTCTTATCTATGTGCTTCCTAAAATAACCTCTTAGAATATAATTGCTAGTTCAAACAGCATGAACACTTTCAAAAACTTTTCATGTATATATTTCCAAATTCTCCTCCTACCAGGTTGTTCCACTTTACATTCTATCAGTGTTTGTGAATTTGTGTCCTCCTAGTTTCATTAACACTATTCTTTTTAATACTTGTATGATTTATGAAAAATATTATCTTGTTTTAAAAGTTTATCATTTTGGTTCCTTTAGTTAATAGTTTTATTTTTTTGCCTATCTTTATTGGCTATTGGTGTTTTTATATATTTCCTATTGGTATCATTTGCTCATTTTCTAAAATTATTATAGCCAGCTTTTTATTTATTTATTAAAAGGATTAACTATTGAATATTAACCCTTTTGCATAGCTTTTACAGATATTTTCACCTTCACCATAATGTTGAAAACTACTATTTGAATATAAATTTATGTATTTCTAACAACAAAATGAAAGTATATAGTAAGGTAGTGTGACAATGATGCAATATTGTTAAATTTCTCTTTAAATGAAGAAAGGATGTTGTGTTACACTTTCTCTCAACTGTTTAGGGTAGAAATTCTTTTATCTTCATTCCTTATAAGTACCAACCCTAACACTCTTTATTGATCCCTGAAAATTAATTTTCTTATTATCTAATACATCTTTTAAGCTTTTTTTTATTTATGCATATAAGAACTGTGGCACAAGCCAGAGGTACAGGGGGGTGAAACGATTCACCATACACAGTGGGGAGCAGAACAGGAGAACTACTGAAATACAGTGCTGAGGGAAGCAGTGGGCAAAACAGGAGAAGTCTGCTCCACAATGTGGGTCACCTCCCTGGCCAGAGATTGAGCTCATGGCTGCAGTGGCTGTGGATAGCTTCACAGTGCTGTGCTTTAACCCCTTGCACCACCAGGAAGCCCTTAATACTTATTTTTATTGATGAAATACTGTATCTTAAGCATTTATTCTAATAAAGCAAACTTAACTACATGAATCTTTGTCTAGAATCCTGGTTTCTTCTTTTTCTGAGGAGCAACTGAACCGTTATGAAATGTATCGCCGGTCAGCTTTCCCTAAAGCAGCCATTAAAAGGGTAAGGATGGACTGCCACACTTCTTTTCCATCAGATACAAACCTGAACTAGACTCAAATTTGATGTCCACTGACATTTGAAGTGAGATACTAGGGTAATTGATGGGTTATTTAGACGGGGAAATAAAAATAAACACATTAATTATACCTATTACAATTTTGTATTCTATGAATGATGGGGTCACAGCATATAGAGAGTAAGTCACTATACACTGAATTCTTGTTTTAATAATTTCAATTTTTGCAACTAGTCTCTAGAAAGTGCTATTTCAGGGCAAAGCTTGACAATTTTAACCAATCTTTTTCCTTCTTTCAAGCTGATCCAGTCTATCACTGGCACTTCGGTATCTCAGAACGTTGTTATTGCTATGTCTGGTATTTCCAAGGTTTTTGTCGGGGAGGTTGTAGAAGAAGGTGAGTGTTACATATGTACAAATACTGGATTTAATCTGTGGTGGTCTGATTTTCAAGAACACCTATATTAAGGGACTTATCTATAATCAGGGACTTAGTAAGGCACCGATGGGAGTTTTCATTTGCATTGGTTGACCAAGTATATTCAGGAGCGCATGACTATTGTTTCTTGAAAGTTTCAATACTGGGAAGCAAGGAAGTAGCCAGGCAATTTTCTTGATTCCTATCCTCAGCTCAAACTGACAGAAGCACTTTGCATTTTTCTCCAGTGAACTTTGTTCATTTCTGCTGCCAAAAATGAGACTATAAAGAAAACAATCAATTGGGTTAACCCCATGTGGTATAGTTAGGTGTTGTCCATGCTGTTATGACCCCAGGAAACCTTATCCACCGAGGAAAGAACCTAGCTGCTACCCATTGCTGGTCTCTAGCTGATTTAAGATTTTTTTTGTTTTTGGTTGGTTTTTTTTTTTGATAAGACATTTTAAACTATGATAAAGCTTGATATCGATAATATGAACACTAACATGGTACATTTTATAGCATTCTCTTAAGAAGGGGAAATGTCTTACTGTATTTCCCTAGCAGCTTAAGGAGGGTTTATGAAAATTGCAGGGTTCAAAAAGATAATGAACTTTAAACCTAGTAAGCTCTTCTGTGATAATGAAACTTTCTCTTGTCCTCTATTTAGCATTGGATGTGTGTGAGAAGTGGGGAGAAATGCCACCTCTACAACCCAAACATATGAGGGAGGCTGTGCGGAGGTTAAAGTCGAAGGGGCAGATTCCCAACTCGAAGCACAAAAAAATCATCTTCTTCTAAACCAAACCTAGAAAGACCTAGTACTAAAGGTACTGTTTCCAGACTTCTCTCTCATGAGACTTCCCGCACTGGGAAGTCTCCAAGGGATTCATGATGAGTTTAATGTCTTTCTCAAACTCTGATACCCACCACAACTAGAAGACATGCCTTGACTAAATATTGGGACCTCAGTGCATTTTGAGGCCTTTAACTATTTCTTGGCCAATTGGAAGAAGAAAGGTACATGGGCCTTAATCTTCTGGACAAGCGCTGCTTTCAGAGAGAAACGTTTCAAAGAAAGCTTTGAAGTTTTCACATTGAAGCCTTAAATTTCTGATCTAGGTTGTTTCTTACATCTGCTTTTAAGTGGATGAACCAGGCAGAAACATTGGATTTGAAGGACATGGTGATAGCAGGTATAGTAGAATCATTTGTTCCTGTAAACATTTACAATTCTCCTCTGGATTGGATTTTGGTGAATGGTCATTAAACTGTTTTCCAACTTGCTATGTGAGTATTTATTTTCTGCCTAGCTGGTTAGAGTGAGAATTTTATTCTTCTTTAGTGTCAGAGTGAAATGATCTTGGCTTTTTAATAAAAATTTGACCCCTCATTTTCTACTACTAAAATTTTACTACAGAATAAAGCATTTAAAACCAATGTAAAGCTGAAGATTTCAGATTCTAATAAAGAGATATATCACAACCAATACTGTTTAATAAGTTTAATTTGCTTTTTTCAGGTGGTTCACAGAACCAATACACTCAAGGTTTAATTAGATATTGCAACATTAAAATTTCCAATACTGACCAATATTCCAGTTCAACAGATACATTCTCATTGTTTTCCTCAAATAGAGGGTAATGAAGTGAACTTTATTGACAGTGATTAGCAGTAATAAGGCTACTGTATGTAATTGGCAATCCTCAAGAATTCTTCTCTGATCATTCAGCCATAGGGAAAAGGGTTTTTGAAGCTGTTCTTTTCCAAAGCTTTCCTGAGCAGATCTTAGTAAAGATTCCAATTCTGCTTAGCACCCTGAGTAGCGGGGGAAAGCTTGGACTCATAAAGTTGGGCAAGTCTGACTTTAGTATCTTATATTAAACTCTTGACTTTAAACATGTACTTAGCCAATGAAGAAGTGGAGCATTCCACAAGGAAATGCTGTAAGACTCAGGCTAAAATTCAAGTTCCTGTATCACCTTGGTAATCTCAAAACTATCTTCTTACTCTATACCATAAACTAGCCTAAAGGAAACCAATGTAAATGAGCTAAATGGAAGCATTTAAGCTATGGGGCATGGAAGAGGTGGTATTTATCCCCTGTGTATTCCATATACAGGAACTATGCCTTTCAGAACCATAACAAGGGTACATAAAGATTGAGGCCCATGGTAAAATGAAGGTGAGATTAAATATACAGCAAACCATTCAGCAAAAAGCAACCATTGAGAACCCACTACTCTGACTCAAGTTAAAGTAGCTTAATTATTTCAGTGAGTTAAAAACAGAATTTGAGACTGATAACCACTCCCACAGCTGAGCTAAGAAATAAGACTAATCCATTCTCACTAAAACATACCCCTGCTACACCCATGTAAACAGGAAATGTAGATAATTACAGGTGATAAATAGTTGTAAATCTTCACAGCTGAAATGGTGATGTGCAGTGGGAGGAGGGATAGCCGTGCTATCCACTCCAGACATTTCTTGAGGTATTGTTATCTCTTGTTCACAGTCTTAGAGCTCCGAGGCAGAATCAAAAAGCAAACCGGAGGAACTGCTACCATTTTTTCTTTTACACTTAGGAGCACTACCAAGCAATTCACATTTCTTCATTACCCGTCTTCCCTTCTCTGGTGAAAGGGTGTATTAACTAATACTAGATGATTTTTGCCGAGTGTGTGCTTAGTGCTTAGTGCATAGACTTTCAGGCCTGGCATAACATCCCCTACTACATTTCCAAAGCCTCCACATAAGGGAAGTCAGAAAGTCTAGGGTCCTGTTTGACATGTGGACAGGTGCTCCAGAGCGCATCAAAGCCTGACTCAGCTTGAGGGGGTTTGCCTTGGTGCTTGCCAAATTTGCTTTATTGCCTCCTGTAGAGTTCAACCTCAAGGTGAAAGAGTATCAAGCTGTACCTATTAGTGTGTGTGTGTGTTGTTTTGTTTTTGGCATGGAGGGATACCAGGGATGTGGCGGGTAAAGGAGGAAGCACAGGAAAGAATCAGAATGTGACTTTAAATCAATTCAGGTGAGCCAAAAATTGAAAAATTCTATTTTCCAGCTAATGACTTCCTCTAGCCCCCTCTGAGAATATCAGAAATACCGTAATTGGGAAGATCAGTGGTACATTTGTTCAACATTCTACCTCTGAAATAAACATTAAGAGGGAGTCTATAGAGGGATAGAGTTAACCATCTCAGTTGCCTGTCACCAAATAGCCTTGGTTTTCTAGGAAACTACGAAGTCTGTCATCAAGGATTCCTCTTAAACCTTCCATCCCCATGTATGGTTTCTGTCAGCACCACTTCTTGAGCAGAAGTTTCCGATTTGCTATGAGAAATACTCTGTTTTCCTAAGGCCAGAAAGTAGAATCCTAGAGCTAGCATTTTAGGACCTGGCTTCCACGCTTGACTAGATATTTGATTTAGTACTCCCCTCAACTTTTACCTTTCCAGGATTGGAACCAACATTTTAAAGATATGTTGTATACTTCCACCCTGGTACCTTTGCTATTCTTTGAACCTTTCCTCCCGTCTATGTATGCTGCAAATGATATCCCTAGAAGTGTGCAGATAGCGTAAGACATTGCCCCTTTTTTTTCTGAGGTACTGTCACCGGTGTTGTCTCCGTGTGCCCTACCTGATGTCTAGAAGGCAGTTGTGCTTCTGGCCATGCAGCACAGTGACCCCTCCTCCTTGAACCCCACCAGAGTTTAGGATTCTCTCCTGAGTTCTTACATTTCACTGCCTCCCCTATTGCTTGCTGATTTTTTCAAAGGTACACAGCTTTACACTTACTCGGTAGAACCTCACTTGTCACTTTCCTGAATGTTTACACTCAGCTTGTGCTTTTTTTTTTTTTTTTTTAATCTCTTCCAGTTTACCTTTTCTTCCCTGGAAGTTTCATTTAATGGCACTGTAATATCCTACTTTCAGGTTATTTATAAAAAATTTTAAATATGGTTCAACCAAACATATACTTGTAGGAACTATGTTAATATTCTTACCAGAAAGATGTTTATTCCTAAATTGCCTCCTAAGTGTGACAAAATATTCCCATAATCTCTCGGTAACTGGTACTTTTAAAATTTCCTCAGTGGAGAAACTTGATAAGAGCCTGAACAAATTAGATCTTGTTTCTTGAATATTTGCTTCTCTATAACTTCAAGGAAAGAAAAAAAAAACACTAGATGATATGCCTTGGGTGTGACTTCACATAAGGAAACCATTTTACCTTTCCTTTAATAAGTCAAATATGATCTAAGATTTTAGTGACACTACTAAATGACTATTTTACCATCTTGCCAATCCAAGATGAGTTAGCTAATAAATTTTTGTCCAATCTACACAGCTTACGTGTACCACAGAGCTATATGGATGTACAGTGTTAGGGGAGTATTGGGCAGGAAAGAGAAAGGAGAGAAATAGTTCTTTCATAAGGTAGGTGCAAAACCTAGGTAACATAATGGATTGGTTGGTTTTTCCTTAAGTCAATACTACATAATTTTTAAAAGTCACAGTGATAGAGGGAGGTGAGAACAAATCAGTTGAGATGTTTATGTTAAATATCTTTAGCTTCCAAACCACCAAATGCTGAGGAGAATCCGGAGGAAAGTTGTAGTGCTGGAGAACCACTCCCAGGGACCCCAGGGAAACAGCCTGTCGCTTACTAACAGTTAAGTAACGGCTGTGGAAGAGAGAGGACTCCAGGTGGGCAACAGGGGCTCTACTGATCCCTCCAACATCACACCTCCCAGAGTAAAATCTTTTTCCTAGATTAAATCTCAAGTAAATGGTGTCATTGAAAGGAAAGATGATGCAACTGAGTTACTCCTACTGTTTACTTTCTACCCAGCATCACAATGAAGAAAGTATCTAACAGGAATCTTAACCCTGAAAAATATATCTGTAACTTTAATCATGATGACATGGGCTTGGTTCCCTTTTTCAAAAAGGCAGAATCAAGGTCTCCCTTCTTGTGGCTCTCCTGGCTTTGCCTTGCCATTCTTATTCCATTCCACTACCGTGGCCACAGCTCAGACCAAGGACTTCTCAGCTCTACTACAGGAAGCTCTGGGACATAGAATCTTTGGTGGCTCTGAGTGACTGAGTAGGTGAGGATTTTCCCTGCTCACACAGGTTGTGGAAGAAGCAAATGTCTCTGCCATGAAACCAGAAAGTGAAATGACCCTAGTATTAAGAAGACGCCGCCTAGTCAGAGGGCCAAAAGGTTTTATACAGGCAAGACATGATGCTTGAGCCACGCACAAAGCTGCCCCCAAATTCCTGGGAAGTAGTCACGCTTTGCTGATCTTCCATCCAAGTGAGAACAACTAGTTGAAAGGACACCACCAGGAGAGAGTGGAGCACTCCCCCGGCCCTTCTGGCATTCTTAGCAGACTTATTCAACACTGGACAGTGCTTCTGCCCTAGGTGGTGCTATTGCTGGTGATCTCCTCTGTTCTTGGCACAGATGGCTCAGTCACTGCTACCAGAGCTCAAAGAGGGGGTTATATTTCCTAATCTCCTGAAGAAGTCTTTCTTTGTCCTGGTTGGCACTGGCCAATGCTTGTTTAGTTTCTATAAGCTCCTTTTGTAGGGTAGGCAGTTCTTTCACCTGAGGAATAATAAGTAGTTCACAGTTAATGAATACAGTAATCATTTTGCAGAAACATCCAGTAAGGGAACAGGAGGAAAAATTCAAGCAGCAAAATCCCCAAAGTTTACCCAGTTATCAAGAGAACTCAACTAAATCTTTGCTATGAGCCTAATTCCCTCCTTAGGGTTGATGAGTTACAGGGACAGCAACAAGCATAAGATGTAACCAGCACTCACTTACTGCAATTCCTACTAATCCTCTATTTAGCCTCTATATACTTCAAAAAGCCAGGTGACAGGGGCCTAAACCACCAGCTGCAGACAGCATAAGCAACCTTCTTAGCCCTCTAGATTTTACTGGCTTTTGTGATTACATGTGCTACATGTTTATGGGAAAGGTACTATTCAGGTGCTCACCTGCTGTCCAAAAGCCTCCCCTGTGGGCACGAGAAACACCTGTTCTTTGGGGGGCTGCCTCTTCTCATTTTTGGGTTCTTCAGCTGATGGTCTGTCCTGAGCAGCAGCTGGAAAAACAGTAAAGGTGTAAAATGACAACTGCTACCAACATGCATACAATTGCTAGCAATCACCTATCCCCTTAAGAGAGGGACAAAGCAGATAAGCCAGGAGGTTGATAAGCCCAACTCACCGCCTATGTGGAACACACCATCATCACTCCGTTTCATCACAACATGCTCCATGGCCAGCGTGATGGGAATAGGCCCTGGGGATGTTGGGTAGATGGGAGGGATATCATCCTGCAGGAAAAAGGGAAAATCACATGAAAAATTTAGGTTTCAAGTACTTTTATGTCACTGATTATACATACACTCAATGTATGGGAGGACTACTGAGTCTCTCCTACTCTAGAGATGGTAAAACTGAGGATCAGATAATTTAATAATCTGTCAAGACAGGGTGAGAGCTAGATAAAAGGTGTCCTCACTACAAGTCCTAAATCCAGGATTTTCTGACAGCAACACACATGTATTTACTATTTTTAACACTGACCAAGAATGTTAATATGCATTTCTTCATTTGATCCTCACCACTTTTTAATGTGACAAGAGAAATTAGCAGCTATCACTGCCGGAATTCTTTGCCTTACAAAGTCTAGGTTAAGAAACAAAAGCTCCTCTCACTTTTAAGGTGATCCTGGAGTTCAGGAGCTCAATCTTCATGGGAACTACCACCGGGATCTCCTCATCCTCCAAGAAGGGTCCCAGGCCATTGAGCACCGAAGTGAACAGCTCAAGGTCACAGTCACGAAGTAAGAAATGCAGGAAGCCATTCTGTGGGGCCAGTGGGGAATGAACAGCTGCACCAGGCCCCACCTCAAAACGAAGGCCCATAGCTGGCTGGAGGCGACCAGTCTTCAAACCTGAGGATTCCTCAAAGTTTGGACCTTTAACAAGAGTAACAGTAGGAAAACAAATTAATTCTTTGACAGCCAGAGATTGTTCCAAGCATTTCAAGTATATTGAATGTTGTAACAACCCTAGGCCAAAAATATTATTGTTTTCACCTTAGAGATGAAGGTATGAGGCACAAAGAATTACCTGTGTAAAGTCACACAACTTATAAGCAGCAAAGCAAAGTCACTGGGCTTAACTACTATGATAGTGATTCTCATGGTAGAGGGAGGTTAAGTACCAGTCTAAAGCTGGCCTTGCCATGAGTGGGCACAGAGCTAGTGGCCAAGGAAAAGCTCTTAAAACATAGGACCCACCACTCTGCTAAATTAAAAACATCTCTTCCAACTCTTAGCCTTCTCATTTTTCACTGATAGTCAAGCGAGATCTATGCTAATCTCAAAACTCCATAAAGAACAATCCTAGAAATATAGCAAAGGTTATGAAAATGTGTATAACTTTGATTTTAGAAATTTTAGAAAATAAATTAGCATTGTCTAGTAAAGTTAAAGCTGTAGCTATCCTAGTGACCTAGAAATTATATTATCAGGAATATGAGCCTGGAGAAACACTTGAACATGCATACCAGCAGGCATGTACATGGGTGTTCAAGACAAACCTATTTGAAATAGCAAAAAATGATACTAGAAACAACCCAATGTCTATTCAAAACAGACTGAAGAAGTAAACAGTATGGATGCAAGGAATATTTTGGGAGTGATGATGATAGTTACACAGCTCAATAACTTACTAAAATCTAACAAATTGTATGATTACTGAGTGAATTTTTTAATATGCAAATTATACCTCAATAAAGCTTTTTTTTTAATTTGGTATGCTTTTACAATAAAGTTGTGGAAACGAATAGCTAACTCAACAACCTAAAAGAGTTTGAAAAATACCATGTTACTTGAAAGAAGTTACTCACAAAAGAATACAAACTATACTTCCATTCAGAAAAACTCAAAAGCCTATTAAGCTAACAATACATTGATACAAACACATGTGGAAGAATTATACAGGAAAATATGAGGATGATAAAAATAAAATTCAGGATAGTGATTCCCAATGACAGATTAGAGGCAGAGGAAGCGTTAGGAGAGAGGACCTCAGGTATGTAAACTGTTAATGGTACTGTTTTATTTATTAAACTAGGTTGTGGATACATGGGCTCATTGCGATTAGTATTTTATACTTTATATAGAATTTATGAAATATTTCAGGGCCTACTCAATATTATAAAAACAGTTTAAAATGAACCAATAGCCCCAATTTTTCATATTAATTTTTAAAGTATACATGATAATTCACATCACGTGAAGTTCCCTGATCAGATACAGGGTGATGTTAGCAGTCATACAAGTGAAGAAGTGACAGTGTTCTCATGCATAAGCTTAGGGCACACCTAGGAAATGCCAATGGAAATCAGCCTAAGGGATGCAAACTTGAGAAAGGGCTCCTCGAGAAGACTTATAAGGAGGGCTGATAAGAGTACTTCCTCCCTCTGTGAGAGAAGGGCCAATCACATGCAACAGGGCAACCACTGTGCAGCAGAGTGACAGGAGCTGAGTTCAGCTACGGCTACCCCAGACAAATCCCACCACCTTTCCTAGAATGTCCACCATCTCACCCGGGCACTGCCCATGCAGGAACTGCCAAAGTCCCACGGTGCCCAGCTGCTGGAGGGTCAGCTCCTCTGCTTGCAGGGCCACAGTCAAATCATCGCCTCGTACCTCAATTCCCAAAGATATCTCATTCACTTTCAGGAGCAGAACTGAGACCTGTAAAAGGAGACTCCCTTAGCTGAGCCCCAAGCTCCCAGCATAGAGTCTACCCTCTGCAGAGAAGAAAGCAGAGCAGCTAACCAGGTGAGGATTGAGATCCTCTCCACTGGGTGAGGCTGAACTGTTGGCCTCAGGTGACCCCTGGCCATAGCCTTCCAAAACAGGGCTCCCTTGAACACCAGCATTGTCTAAGACTGGAAGAGATCCTGGAGGGAGTGAGTCTGGACCAGGTTCTGCATAAAAAAGGCAAAAAAAAAAAGTTTGAAAGTTCAAAGCCAATGGCAACTGTAAAAAACAAAATATTTGACATTTATAAGACAACTTACTAGATACTTGATAAATTTAAGGAATTATTTATTTTTAAAATATGATAGCCATTTGGTTACATTTAAAAAAGTTTGTAAATAGAAGCAACCCAAGTGTCCATGGACAGATGACTGGATACACAAAGTGTGGTATAAACATCCAAAAGACTATTAATCAGCCCTAAAAAGGAAGGAAGTTCTGACACATGCTACATTGTGAATGAACCTTGAGGGCATTATGTTAAGTGAAATAAATCAGTCACAAAAGGAGTAATACTGCATGGTTCCACTTCTATGAGGTACCTAGAGTTTCTAAATCCATAGAGACAGAAAAGGTGAAGGGAGGAAGGAATGAAGAATTATTATCTAATGGATGCACACATACATCTTAAGAAATGGTGCATTCTCTTTTATTTTCATTTAAATACTTCAGAAACCATTTAATCAGTTTCCATTTCAAAAAGCTGAAAGAACCATTTTAACTTCCAGTGGTGACAGATCTAACTCTAAAAGGTCATTCATTTTGTCATAGACAAAAAGTCCCTAGTTACTTGCCAAAAATAAGATACACAAACCAAAAAAAAGGACAAATATAGACACCATTACACCAGTCATAAAACTGATTCCCCAGCTTCATCACTGGAAGACAGCCACCTTTCCTTTGATCTGAGTCTCTGCCTTTGATAAAGGTAATGTACCACCCAATAACTCAGAAGATGTAGGGACAAATCAAAAGCCACAAATCCATTAAAATTTCTTTTTCTTGTTTTGGCTAAATACATGTTTATTTTATCAAATCTCGGTTCTTTTTGTATCCTGCCAGTCTGAAAATAGATAGCAGAAAAGAATCTTTCTGGGCTTTCACAATTTTGCTTGGCTCTGCCTCCACCTACCAGACTCCAACAGCATCACAAAGCTGTCACTGCCATCACTGTCCACTGAAATCCGATCTTCAGGGCCACTGTTATCCAATGAGACACCATCAAATGACTGCTGAGATACTGTCCTTTTCATGGAGAAAAATCGGAGTCGGGCAGCACCCCCACTCACTGGAGCCGGCACCCCCTCATCTATCTTGGCCACAGGGTCCCTGTTTATAAAAATGAAAACAAGAAATGTGGCTTAAGAGACATGTTTCATCCTATTGCATATCCATCCCTTTCAGCCCAAAGAGTTACTATATATTATAGACATAAACTTTGATATCACCTATTACCTGGTAGAAGGGGGGTGGGGGGGTCACGTCATTTTCAACCCCTGATTTTTCTGAATCCTCATATTCTAGCAACTGAAACTGCAACAATCACCAGGAAATGTCAAGGTTATTCAGACAGTTCATATACAGAAGAAACTAATTACCTATAATTTCAGTGCTATGATTGGTACCTGAAGTCCCATTCACTCCACAGGTACCTAGTGATTAGCTTCTGCACACAGGTACCAGAGCAGGCACAGCATGTGGGTCAGAAGGTGAGTAAGATGATGAATAAAAGATCCCCTGTTCCCAAAGAATTTATATCAGGAGACACATCAAATGTAACATTATATGGGAGAAGTGACATGTCACAGAGAGGGACAGAAATGTAAGTCAAAACTAAGCGATATCAAACAGAGGAAAAGATGGGTACTAGAGATTTAAAAAATGGCTTCAATAGAAGGAGATGGCATTTGAGGTGGTCCCTGAAGGGCTATGAAAAAGATGGGGTGAAGGCATATGCTATGGGGACTAGTAAGTAGTTCAAACCAGCTAAAGCACATGTTTGTTAAGGAGAACAATGGAGGACTAAGTTTAAAAAAAGGTAACACAAAGAAAAGAAACCTTTTAGTTCTACCCTCCCATTTTACAGATGAAGTAACTGTCAAGGTTCACAACACAGTTATGGGTGGAATTCAGAAAAACCCACAACTTCCTAAATGCTTTTTTCACCCTACTACATGGCTTGCCCTAAGATTATAGAAAGCCATGGATGGAAGACTATACATGAAAGTACACATAGGGTTGGTGGGAATCTCTGCCTGCTGCTCATGTTGCTATGATTCTAAAATGGCCTAAAAAATAGAGTCTGCTGGCCCTCCCTGGTGGCGCAGCGGGTTAAAGCACTGACCTAAGAAGCTTAAGCCCCTTCCGCATGAGTTCGATCCCCGCCTGCCCCAGAAGTGACCACATGGCACAGCAGACCTCTCCTGACCTGCCCGCTGCTCCCCTCAGCAGTGTACTTTGTCTATCTGCCTGTTCTGCTCCCCACTCTGTCCCTGGTGAATCCTCCCACCTTCTGCATCTCTGGCCTGTACCCCAGTTCTGTATGAATAAATAAATAAATCTTTAAAAAAATAGAGTCTGCTGAAGAAAAGAAATAGCTGTAAAGTGCCATTGGATATAACATAATTATGCCATAGTAGGAAGTTCAAACACAATCTGGGAGTATAGGGAAAAGCCTGAGGGCTTTAAAATAGGGAAATACTCTAAAGGGAATACACCTGTGTTCTAGAAAGTTTGACCTGGCTTTCTCAAACTAACTATAAAAAATCAACAGTTCACATGTGGGAACAGAGAGGAAAACTGAATAGTGTCCTCAAAGTGGAACCCGGGTAGGAGCATCAGTATCAGTGGGGGCTTGATGGAATTGCAAAGCCTTGACTTCATCTCAGTCCTAAACTGGATGAGGGGTTCTGTGGGCAGGACTCAGCAATCTGTGTTTTCACAAATGCTGTAGGAGATTCTGAAGCAAGCTTCAGTTTGAGAACCACTGCTCTAGGAATCATGGTTAGAACCCAACAACAATTGGAAAAGGCAGAGTTTAAATGTAGAGTTTAAATGAGCAGGAGAATGATGCCACCAAAAAAAAAAAAAAGAAGAAGAAGAAGAACTGATCAGTGAAGGGCTAAGATATTTAGTTTTATATAGGTAAGATTTGAGGTATCTGGGACTCTCTCATGACCCTAGGAAGGTCATGTGGAATAACTGGTATTAAATGAAGAGCAAGGAAGGGAGGAAAATCGGGACAAGAATTACAGACTATCATAGAAATATGAAAATGGATAAAATAAGCTAAAAAAATATTTGGAAGTTCAGACTTACAAAACCTTCTAAAAGTTTGGCATGTGCATCAGCAATGTTAAAAATGTTTATCGTATTTGACCCAGTATCTGCTTCCAGGTTTTTATTCTAAAGATTTAGATACGTAAAAAGAGTAAAGTTCACAATATTAAGGACATTTGACACAATATTGGCTCTACCTGAGAAAAAGTAGAAACTGACCTTTCCCACTCTATAGTATAGTGGGGTGGATTAATACATCATGACACATCCATTTGCTAGAATATAACAAATTAAAAATTATGTATTCAAATACTTAATGAGTGAGGAAATATTCACAATAAAACATTAAGCAAATAAATAGGGATTCCTTTATATTATATACAAATAATATAACCTTAACACTATAAAAGTGAGTCTATATATATTGTATTTATATACTCATACTAGCATTCACATGGAGACAAAAATGTCAATACTGTAATTGGAACAAAATGGATGTAAAGGTAAATAGTGACTACCACTGGATAGTATCACTTCTTATCTATCTTTTTATTTTCTACAGTCACCAAATTGAGCACAAATCATTTTTATAATTTACAAAGTAAGTCTAAATTCTATTGTTAAAAAAAAATAACAAGGATATAACATAATGGTACTTCACTTCAAAATATATTATTTTTTAAAAAGCCAAAATTAGGGCCCTCCCTGGTGGCACAATGGGTAAGGATGCAGCACTGCAAGCTGGCCACAGCCGCCTCAGTGCAAGTTTGATGATGCCCTGGAGGTGCTCCACATGGCGCGGCAAGACTTCTCCTGACCTGCCTACTGCTCCCCTCAGCAGTGTACCTCCTTGATCTACCTGTTCTGTTCCCCACTCTGTCTCTGGTGAATCCTCTCACCTCCCCTGAACCTCTGACCTGTACCCCAGTTCTGTATGTATAAATAAATAAACCTTTTTTAAAAAAAGAGTAAAAAATATAAGTTACCAGAATATGGACAGTTTAGCCCTATGCAATAATATTAAGAGGATAAAAAGAAGAGAGCAGCTGAGGGAAAAAATACTCATTCTATTATGTATGAATTAAGGGGGTGGGGTTACAAATGGTCAGAATGAATTGACCAGCAAGATTAACAGCCAGGAGGAAGATTGAGAAAAGGCCACCAGTTTGGACAGTTAGGAAACCATTGTTGTTTTACAAAAGAAATCGTAACACACACCTTTCTTTTCTCCTTTTTACCTTTCCTCTCTTCCCAGCTCCCTTATTTTTCTCCAATTAGAAAGAGCAGTTCATTTGGTAATTGGGAGTCTGGGATATCAATCCTCGCCCTACCACTCACAAGTTTTGTGATCTTGAGCAAGTTTCTTACCTCTCTGAGTCTCGTTTCCTCATCTGCAAAGTGAGGAGTGATAATAGTATCTGCCTTACAGGGTTGTAAGAATTCACTGGATTAATAGTCTAAGTATTTAGGACAGTGCCTAAATATAGAATATACTCAATAAATGCTGCCTCACTCGTATTATTATAAATAATAATGCAATTAACAATACAATTAATCCCTGTACGTAATTTTCTCTCCCCCTCCTAGGCTAGTGGGTACTAGCACACCCTCAGGCATTGCTTAGATACCCACTTAAGACAATTCACCAAGACAAAAGCTCTAAAGTGACTGCTCTTCATTCATATCATGGTCCCCACACCACAAAGTGTCCCCATAAAGATTTCCTGTCATCATATCTTTCCTAAAACCTGTGGGGAAACCCGTGCCTTTATACTCTGTGCATTTCTGCTTTCTGCTTATTCCCAATTCTATCTCCAGTATCTAACAGAGAGTCTGCAGTAAGCAAGGACTCAAAAAATATCTGTTAAATGAATGGATGAAATTCTTCCTTATCTATTTCCCTGGAAGATGTTGATAAGAAGTGTCAGAAAGACCAAGTTCAAAGCCCCACATTTTCTGTTTACAAGGTACAGGATCCATGAGCTCATCCTTTCTGAGTCTGTTTCCTTACCTAAAAGTTAAACATCTGTAGCCAACTCAGCAGGCTGTGGTGGGGATCAAAACAATCAAAATATGACATGAGAGCCCAATGAAAAGTATAAAAATATCATACTGATGCCAGGTATTGCTCTTCAGATAAGGCATATCTACTAAAAGTAGTTAATCAGTAAGAGAGTTAACTTGATACTTCAAAGGAATAAATGTTGACTGAAAACAGTCCAAAAATAGACTCTGCTATATGGAGGCATGTGAAAATCCATGGGGTTTTGTTATTTTATTGGAATTTATGGTTCTTCCCTATTACAAACTTAGATGTCATCCTGAGAATAAGTCTCTCCAACTGGTATATCTGTATCCACTAAGTAGCCTGAAAATTTCTCCAATGCTATGCCTCTAACTCTATGCACTCTCCAGAACTAAATGGTGCTTCCCAATCTAACAGCACACATGATAAGAGGCCTTAAGCCAAATGAACAGAGCTAGGAGGAAGAGAGGGGATGCAAAGGAGGCAGAGAACCACTCACTTGGCTGGGGGAAGGGACAACATCTTGTGCATGGTGGAGGTCATTCGGTCTCTGCCCAAACTAAAGGCATCCTTAGTCAGGGACACAGCTTCCTTGGTGAGGTCCATGGTGGCATGGAGAGCCTCCTTGGTGGCATCCTTAGTCAGGTGAATAGCACTTGACAATTCTCCCTCAATGTTCTTCAAGGGGATGAGCTCACCCTGTCCATTCATAGCAATATCCCTGGCACCTGGGGGCTTCAAGGCAGCTGGTGAGCTAGATGTTTGGGCTCTGCTCAGTCTCTTGGCCTGCCGGGAATCAACTGCCTCATGGCCCTTCCCTACCAACTGCTGTGCACGAGAATATGAGTCCTGCAGTTCTCCATTGCCATGAAGAGGCAGTGGCCTATCTTGAGCTCCATCCAGATTTTCAATGCCACTATCCTCCAGAACCTTTTCAGGGCTTGTTGGGTCCTGGTCTGAAGATGCATCAGACTTCAGCTCCCGATCCTCTGAAGGAGACAGTTCTGAATCAATGATGCTGGTGGTATCTGAACCTGCAGAATCAGCTTCAACAGACCCTGGAGTAGGATTCATAAGCAGAGCCACCTCAGCACTGGGGAAGAGGATTCCAATGCAAACTGTCTGGCCTTGCAGGGCAGACCCAGTTATCGCCTCCGTATCCTTAGTCAACTGCTCCTGAAGACCCTGCAGCACCTCCTTCAGGCGGAGCAGAGCTAAATACTGGTAGTGGTCAAGCCTCACGCGGACATGTGCAGGGGAGTGTATCAGCATGTGAACATCTGCAGCATCCTCCAGCTCTGCCAGAGGTCCTTTGTTGTCCACACCACTGCTGCCTTCTTCCAGAATTTCCATAGCTTTTGTAAGGCCTGATAGGCTTTTCAAATCGTGCTCAGTCTTTGACCTCTGATGGGACACAGGGTCAGACGCAAAGGCCTCAGAGTGGACAGGACTACCAAAGCTGGCTGATGGTTTCAATTTTCCTTCTGCAGCCAAAAGGAGCTTCCGTGCCTGGGCTTGCTGCCAGCGGAGGGGCAGACAGGCCCAAATGGACAAGGGGAATGGAGACACAAAACTCAAGGCATGACCTTTGAAGTTCTCTGTTCCCTCAAAGTCCAAGGAGATCTGGGTGAAATGAATGGACCAGAGATCTTGGGAAGCCTTAGGCCTCTGGGGAGGGAGATTACTAGGTTGAGGGAGACGGGAATCCATCTGGAAGGCATGATGCAAAAAAAGCATGTGCAGAAGGCTGAAGCTACCTGGAACCTTGGGAAAGTGAATGTAATTGGAATGAAAGAATTCAGCAGCAGCAAAACCCCGGAAGACACCTTGGAGGTCTGAACAGCTACAGTGTGGTGCATGACGTGTATTGGTGGCTGTCATGCCTGACGCAGAAAAGACAAGGGCCTGGGGCCGATGCAACCCGGCCTGTTCTCTCTTCTCCAGTGGGAAGCTCACCTTCAGAAAGAAAATGGAACCCAATTCAGAATGGCCATCTACATATTTCTACAACCCACCACTAATACACATATGAAGGACCATTTAGACTATGAAGTTGCTTTTCTTCTATTAAGTGGACAAAGCAGAACCCTGGGTTATAGCATGGACTCCCCAGCACCCCTCCTGGGAGTAAAGCAGCTGTGGCACCAACGGGGAACGAAAACCCCACGTTCTCCCTACCTTTAGCCAGAAGGCATCCAGTAGGATATCCAAGTGTTCATCTTTCTGGCGTGAATCTTCCAGCTTGTAGATAGCTTTGAACTGTTCCAAGCTGCGGTATAAATCCAGGCAGAAGAGGTTTCCCCAGAGTAAACTGATGGGATCCACAGTAAATGCCAGACCATTTAACTGAATATAGAGATTGGGACAGGGAACTGGAAAGCAGAGAAAAAATGAACAGCCATGTACAAAAATAGCAGCCTGATTCTTACCTACCAGCTAATAATCATTTTATCATCAAGCAATCAAAGGCCCATATTTATGGAAGGCAAGGTTTTAGCAAATGTGTGCTTAACTCAGTCGAACACCTAAAATTCCTGATGACAAATGAAAATATACGTAGTGTCCCCAAGGCTGAAAAATGTAAAGAACATGAGCTATATACCAAGAAATGCTCAGCTCAGATGTTTACCTGGAAGCTCCTGATTATCTGGGAAGTAATACTCTGTGAACTCAATGTGAATAGCAGAGGCCTGAGTAGGTAGATTGTGAAGTTTCCGACTGCAGGAAAGGAGTGTAGACGGTTTCTTACTTGGCTGTCCAGCTGTTGAAACCTAAGTAATCATGAGTTGCTCTTAGCATCTATACAATACCCAGAACAGTCTCTCAGGAAATAGCTCAATTTCCTCTAAAGTATAAATCCTCTACTATCCTTTCAAAGGCTGTCACAGGAAACATAGTGCTTTTCACAATTATCCCAGGCATTCTCACACCTGTCAAACACTATCCACAAGTTAGTTTTTTTCAGTGAAAGATTTGTAGTAGGGTATTCAGAGGACACGGGGAAATCCCAAGTTCTGAACTCAGCAGCTATGCTCAGAAAGAAACAAACTAATTTTAACTCACACAGGAGTGAGGGAAACAGTTCCCAAATCATACAACCTTGTTCACACTTACTACCTTCCAAATGAACTCTCCCAGCCCTCTGACCATGTCCCCGTGTCCTGGGAGCCTCACCTGGTGGATGTCCAAGTCATCCACGCGTATCACCATGCAGCTAGAACGTAAGCGATTCCAAGCTGGAGGCCGAAAGGCAGCCTGTTGGCCCTGAGAGGGGGCCTTCTCAAGGGGGTTCTTTCGAGGACTAGAAAGAGAATCTAAATAGAAATAAGAGGGAAAGGTAAGTCTGATACACTCAAAACTTACTGTTAATAGAATTAAGAAAGTAAAAATCCTATAATCATTAATGCTATGTAGGAAAGAGTTTAAGAGCACTACCTAGCTCCCAGATGGAACTCAAAAATCCTATTCTCTTTTAGACCAAGGAAACAGCCTTGGAGAGAGGTGATGACAATCTCTAACATAGCAGCTATCCCTGGGGGCAAACAGGACTCTAAAGAAAAGTCACTGGTCTCTCTCCATGGTCTAAAGTTCAGATAATTAGCCAGAGAAAATTGGGGAAAGTTAGTCAAATGCTTTATCTTCACTGTATTCCTAAGTTAATGGCAAGATGATAAGCAATAAGAGTCTTGCAGCTTCTCACAATCCACCTGCTTTCCTCCGGAAAGGAGAGTCTACACCCAGATGCCAGGGAGGTTTTAGACCCGTTTCCTCATGCCACTTCTCCATTTTACTCTGAAATTCCATCACCAGCTTCTGGGCCCACTGGCCTCGGGTCTCCATGGCCTCACAGTGTCGCACCCAATGCTTGCAGCTATCACCTGTATAATAAAGAAGCAAATTATTTAGTTCAAAATCATAATCCAATATTCCAATTTTTCTTTCCATAAGTACAGTTATATTTCAGAATCTGATCTCTCACACTCAATCCATAATTCTCTGAGATAAGTAAAAAATTATCAGTGAGAACATTCAAGTTGCTCTTGATCCCACAGGTGATCTTTCCCCAAGGATCCCAAATAGGTCAACTGCTAACTGCTGCCATCTTTGACAATGGACTACTATAGAGACTCTAAAACTAGTGGAAGCAAGTTGCAGAGGGTAGAGGCAAAAACATCTCAGGCCTTGCCTCTCTTTGCTGCTTCCTCTTATGATTAATAAAGAATCATCGATAATGAACCATGCAAGTTTCTAGAAGGTGTCCTCTTAAAGAGGGATATTCCCAACACTCCTCTTTGATAAGATGCTAAAACCCTAGTATCCAGGGAAGTGAGGGATCAATTCAGAAGTGTGCCCTCAATATGTGGGCCGAGAAGCTAGCACTATACCCATTTAGAATTCCCCTACCTGCCCAGTGGAAAGGATAATAGTCAAACGCCATCTTGCGGAAGGTAAGCTGCATGGCACCACCCATGAGTCTGTTTGCAGAGATACCTATAAAAGAAAATTAAAGGTAAAGAGCAGCAAAAGAAACAAAGAAGCCTAGTCATCACTTGAAGCACTTTAAAGTCCTCTTGAGGGTGAGCTCAACCTAGCTGATAGACTGTGCTCCTGAAAAACCATGAAGTCAGGCTGAGAGATTTAGACAGTCCTCTTTGAAGTTATAAGTTAGTGGATATGCTAGAGAAGATCAAAGAAAGTATATTCCATTGTCTCTGTAAATGTTCACCAGACTTCCAAAAAGGTAAAAGAAACTAAAACTCAGCATTTCAAAATTCCAACCTTATGTTTCCCACAGACATATGCTACAAGTTCAATGAACTGGTTCTTCCAAACCTACTATTACTGTCCCTCAGTACAATAACCTGGAAAAGCATAAGCAGGTTCCTCAAAAAACAGGACTTATATTTATTTTGCTTCATATGCTGGCCTCAAAGCCAAAGCTTTGATATTAGACAATAATTAGATACTGTACAAACAAGGTCACATGAAACACTAAAAAATAGTGTACTAAGGAGGACATTACAAAAATATAGAATATTATAGGCAAATTGGAATTTTCAGCTATAAGTCAAATATCATCTTGAATTTATAACAAATTTGTACTAAGCAAATGACATTTATCTATCTCTATTTTATCTTTCCAACTAGACTCTAAGAACTGCCATAGCAGGAACTGTTTCTTCTATACATGCTTATTGTCAGACCTGCCCTATTCTAAATTACCACCCTGTCCCATAGTAATGGGATGGGAAAGCCCATGGCTTGCTACAGATGTAAAATGGTACACAAACAGCCAGCTCTTTTTCATCCAACCTAGATGTCAGCACCCAAGTTCTGTACTAATCACCATCCTACCAAGAGATATAACTCTATTAATATTTATATTTTCAATCTTTTTTCATAATAACCCCATATAAGGAGGCTTTTAGATATTTTCCTCCTAACCGCCTCCCTCCATGAAATTTTAATACAACAGATAAATTGTGTATCTACTTTTATGTATACTATATAGCTGGCTCTGTGTTCTTTACATAAAAAAATCCTTTTCCTTTAATTTAATTCAAAATTAAAGACTAATTTTTTCAAGCTAAGTTAAATTTTTATACTATTAATATTAAATATACTTCATAATTATAGTTGTCAAGTAAATTTTATTGCAATTTATTCAGTACGTTAAAATGTATCAAATTACATCTGTAAATCTGCAACTTAAAATAACAAGTCAGAATTTTAATTATTTAAATTCTTCAGCATAAGTGAAGGAACTGGAAGTTTTTATTAAATTCTTTAAATTATTTTTAGTTAACTTTTAACTTTTATATGCTATGAGAAAATGACTTTATATGCTATTCATTTAGATATTGTCAATATTTTTCCTTTTCAGCACTTTACCAAATTAAGGATACATTAAATAACTTTCAGTGAATTGACTAATAAGACAAACTATTATCATTTAATCTCAAAATTCAAATGACAAAAGTAGAAAGGGTCAAACATAACACTAACAAGGTAACCAGTGGCAGCTAACTGGCACTCACAGGCCATCTTTAGCCATATGACTTTGAGATGGAACAAAGGATTGAGAAAGTCTTCTAATTAGTCATCAGTCATGGTTTCTAACACTGCCCTTTCACACATTTTGGGTATCTTCCATAAAGTCAACACCAATGCTATTCATGTACTGTGCAAGAAAATCCTGTGAGAGAAATTAAATATGAAGGAATCAATTTCTGTCAGGCAAGGCTATGCTTTGGAGATCCATAAACATTGTTAATAAATAAAGATGATTGCTTTTTCACACACATTTGCTTATGTCCAAAATAAGAAAATATCAAGATAGAAAGTAGATCAGCTGTTGCTTATGGCTGCAAAATGAGAAGTGATAGCTAATGGGTTACAGGTTTTCTTTTGCAGACTATAGTGTTCTAATATTAGACTATGGTGATGACTACACCCAATCCATTGGCCATACTAGAAAACAAGTACAGTATCTATTTTATTACTCTAGAACAATATATATTCTAAATGGGTGAATTTATGATCTGTGAATTATATCTTAGTATAGTCATTAAAAGAGCCATTTTTACTTGCTTAAAGATTAATATCAACCCAGTTAAAAAAGTATGACCAGGGCCCTCCCTGATGGCACAGCAGGTTAAAACACAGCACTGAGAAACTAAAGCCACTTCAGCATGAGTTTGATCCCCGCCTGCCCCAGAGGTGACCACATGGCGCGGCAGACCTCTCCTGATCCGCCCGCTGCTCCCCTCAGCAGTGTACTTCGTCAATCGACCCATTCTGCTCCCCACTCTGTCTCTGGTGCATCCTCTCATCATCCCTGCATCTCTGACCTGTACCCCAGTTCTGTATGCATAAATAAATAAATCTTTAAAAAAAAAAGTATGACCAGGCTCCTGGTAGGAGAGCATTTCACAGCCATGATCTTTCAACTGAATTAAAAAGTTAAAAAGAACAACAAACAACACAGATTGAGCATAGTAGAGTAGGGTCTAGCATTGAAATAAAATATAACTACCAATTGCCAACACTTGGCAACATATTTAATTATAAACACATAATTAAATGTGAGATAGAAATGGTAAACAGTGACTAATTAAAATTCTTCAATGAACTGATGAGAAAAGGATAGCAGGCCTTACAAGAGATCAAATTTTTTTGACTCACAGGCCTTCTCCTGATGGAAAACAGTGAAAAAACTTCTATCTTCCTCCCATCAACTACCAACCTCCTCTCTGAAGCATTATGAGCTGTAGCTTGATTTCTTTTTTACTGAGATACAATTGGCATATAACATTATATTGGCTTCAAATGTACAACAGGATGATTTGATGTTTGTACATATTATGAAATGACTGCCACAATAAATTTAGTTAAAATCCATTTTAATTACATAATTACACATTTTGTTCTTGTGATGAAAACTTTTAAGATTTATTCTCTTAGCAACTTCTAAATATGTAATACAGATCAGTAACTAGTCACAGTGCTGTACATTATTTCCCTATCAGTACTTTATTTTATAACCAGAAGTTTGTAGCTTTTGACCATCTTTACCCACCTCACTACCACTGCCTCTACTCTCACCACCCATGTCCCTCTAGCAACCACCAATCTATGCTCTGTATCTATGAGACAGGATTTTTTATATTTGTTTTTAATTTCAACAAATAAGAGAAATAATACAGTTTTTGTGTATGTCTGACTTATTTCACTTTGCATAATGCCTTAAGGCCCAGAGATTTTGTCAGAAATGGCAAGATATCCCATTTTTGTATGGCTGACTAGTATCCCGTTGTCTATATCGCTAGCACATGCTTTTTACCTGTCCATCTACTGATGAACTCTTTCTCATCACGTTCCATGCTTGCTCTATTATAAACAGTGCTGCAATGCACACTTTTCAAGATAGCATTTCAATTTCCTTCAGATAAATACCCAATAGTGGAATTGTTGGGTCATATGGTAGCTCCATTTTTAATTTTTTGTGGAACTGCCATGCTATTTCATGTGACTGCACCAATTTACATTCTTGCCAACAGTGCACAATGGTTCCTTTCTCTTGGCATCTTTGGCAATATTTTATAATATCTGCCACTCTAAGGTGTGAAATTCTATAACATTGTGGGTTTTGTTTGCATTTCCCTGGTGATTAGTGATTTTAAGCATCTTTGCACACACCTGTTGGCCATCTGTATGTCTTCTTTGGGAAAAAAATACATCCAGGTCGATTCTCTGCCCATTTAACTGGATTAGGTTTTTGTTTTTGCTGTGGAGTTGTCTGAGTTCTTTATATATTTACTTGTCAACCCATCAGATAGATGTTTTGCAAATAGTTTCTCCCATTCAGTAACTTGCATTTTTAATGTCCTGATGGCTCCTTTCGTTGCACAAAAGCTTTTAAGTGTGATATAGTTCCACTAGTTCATTTTTGTACTTTTGCCATTGCTTTTGGTGTGAAATCCAAAAACTCATGACCAAGACCAATGTCAAGAATCCAATTTGATTTTTTTTTTAAAGATTTATTTGTGCATACAGAACTGGGGTACAGGCCAGAGGTTCAGGGGCAGTGAGAGGCTTCACCAGAGACAGAGTGGGGAGAACAGGCAGATGGACGAAGTACACTGCTGAGGGGAGCAGCAGGCAGGTCAAGAGAGGTCTGCCATGCCATGTGGTCACCTCCGGGGTGGGCGGGGATCGAACTCATGTGGAAGTGGCTTTAGCTTCTTAGTACTGTGCTTTAACCCAGGGAGAGCCGAATCCAATTTGATTTTAAAGGACAATGCTGCCCCACCTCAAGCCAATGACCTTCCTGGTATACAATAAATTCACCTCCATTATCAAAGGATAAGTGGCAAATTAACCAGAGGTCCCAACGTCTTAAGTTAAAGGAGAGATTTCTGTCATGATGGATGCACACAAAATATTTTGTGATACAAGACAAGTTCTATATATATAATATAGATTATATTTAACTCTTGAAATGTAGCTGGTACAAATAAAGAACCAGAATTTTTAATTCTGTTTAATTCTAATTTAAATAGCCACATTTGGCTACTGGGCATAGAATATGTCAAATATTGGACATATTGCCATGTTGGACAGTATTTTAGAGTAAATACAACAGATATATAATGTGAGTCACATAAATAATTGTTAAGTTTTATTTTCATAGTATAGGTTATTTAAATCAATATATACAAAATATTAGTTTAACATGTAACTGATATGAAAATACTTACTGGCCTCTCCCTGATGGCACAACAGGTTAAAGGACCGCATTATGAAGCTCTCCAAAGCCACTGCAGCACGAGTTCAATCCCCAGCTAGGGAGCTGACCCACGTAACATGGCAGACCTCTTCTGACCTGCCTGCTGCTCCCCTCAGCAGTATACTTTGTCAATCTGCCTGTTCTGCTCCCCACTTTGTCTCTGGTGAATCCTCTCACCCACCACACCTCTGGCCTACACCCCAGTTCTGTAGGCATAGATAAATAAATCTTTAAAAAAGAAAATACTTATCAAGGTACTCTATAATCTCTTTGCATTTTATCCTCAAATCTTATATGTATGGTACACTTGCAGCACATCTAACTTGGGTGAGACAATATTTCATTCTCTAATAATCACATATGACTAAATGGCAACCATATCAAACAAAACAACTCCAAAGATGTTTTGAACTTTAAAGCTCTTTCTGTATACCTAGTTCTCCCTCCCAAATCAGAAGAGGAGAAACAAAGTTATAACAATCTTTCTTACTCCTTGCCACCTCCAAGAGTCAACCATACTTGGTTAGAGGAGTTATCCCTCTCTCTAAAAAATAAAGAGGTCTTTACATTCCACCAAATAGACCAATTTAGTTTAATAAACAAATGGGGGCTACAAGGAAAGCTACAGTCATTCACTTCATATTGTGGATTACACGGCCCTACCACATGCAGAGGCAAGTGTTAAACACCCCTTATCAAGCTAGAGGATGAAACTCTCAACTAACGTACTCTGAAGAAGTGATCCTCTGTGATTCTGATAGGATCACAAGCAAAAACCCAGAGATGCTATAGTAATACTTGTAAGAAACAACCAAGCAAAATAAGAAACTTTTAAACAAAGAACTCCCAAAATTTATTAACAGCCAATTTATTAACTCCTATAAAGGCAAAAGTAATCTTTATGTTACCACTGCTTCTTTCAGCTTTCTCAGAGTGGAAACAGAGGGGACTAAAGTCACTTCAACTCCAAGAAATAGCCAAGCAAAAAAAGAAAGGTAGGCTCCCCAAGGGAAGTTAGTCTAGGTTTTACAGAGGCTAACCTTCAGAGGGAATAGGCAGTAAGACATCTACCATGCGGTAGTATCTAAAACCAAGAGTTTCTGGCCAAGGCAGTATAGAGGAAAGATTGAATACTGAAGGAACAAGAAGCAGAGTAATATTACTACATATTATCTCCCATTATGATCATCCAACTTCAGTATATATCTAGTTTAAATCTAACAACAATCTAAGAGATAAATAAGTAGGATGTGATTTACATAAATTTACCAGTTAAGAGAATCAAGAAGTTAAGCAAGAGGTTAAGTGATTTCCCCAATGTTCATAAAGAAATAAATTAATTTCTTTTCATTCTGAGAAAACATGTAACCTGTATGTAATACCAACTGAAAAGCATGACAAGAATACAGCATAATCTTTCTGCATGGAGCAAGCATATTTACATACAATAAATATTTAAACTGGAAATTCTAGTTTTCTGAATTGAATTTAGTTTCTTTAATCTTATACCAGTGGTCAACATTGCCCAAGGGACTTAAGGGAAAAAAAATATGTAGTGCTTGAACTCCATTCTTAAAGATTCTACTTTCATGAGAAGTAAAAATCATGGGATTTAGGCAAAGACTCAATGTCTTTACTTTATTAAATAGCATATGTGATTCTGATGTACCCTACAGGCTGAAGAGATTGCCTTACACTAACAAGGAAAAAACACGCACACACACAGCCAGGAAAGTTGAGGCCCAAGAAATTACTGACAAAGGGAAGCTAAACCAAGTGTGTCTGGAAAAGAGTCTCCCCCCCAGGTTTTACCCAGAGCTGAAGGCAGTGATGGGCCACCCAACCAGGTTCAGACCTCACAGGATACACACCTGGCTCTCGGGACTGGCTATCATCACAAATGTGCAGGTCAAGGCGGGAGATGAGCAGGTGGTAGGAAGACTCTTTCACATCAAATTTCTCAAAATACTGGCTGAGGCGGTTACTGCTGCTGTTGCTGCTGCCCTGGCTACCACCAAATGCCTGGGCCCAGGACTGCTGGGCGCTGGGAGCAGGTGGAGTTATCTACGAATGACAGAGAGAAAAACAAGAAGTCCAGAACCTGAGAGACTCCTTCACAGACTTAAAGTTTTAGTCTTAGTCCAGCCTGTAGATGCACAGCTTAAGCAAGATGCCCCTTTTCTTGTAAAACTGTTTACCTAGTGACTCACTTAGGCTTCTTCACTCAAAAAAGTCTAAAAAGCCTGCCTAAACTCTACAAAGCCTAATTATAATGAGTCTAGTAGCTGTCAGAATACTGTTCTGAAGTCTAAACTATTATCCAAGCTCTTAACTTCCCAGGGTATAGCTCATTAATGCAAAAACATCGCCTCCAGGAAATCTTCTCTCAGTGCCTTCTTTCAACCTCAATAATTATATGCCTTTTCTTTGTGCATTCATGTTGTTTACAGAATAATACATAATGTTTGTATTGTTACATAGCAATAATACATAATAATTAAACATAATATTTATTTCCACTATAACACATAACCTGTCATACTATAAGAACTTGTTCATGGTTGATATTCCAAAACATTAAGTATTCCAAGGACCAAAACAAGAGGCTGGAGACACCTAGTGAGCAGTGAGCAGAATAAATGAATAAATCAGAGGCAGAGGCAAAAACCTATGAATTAGGTATGAATTAGGTCTGGCCTACTATCTCCCCAGTCATACCAAGGTTGACTGTCTAGCCTCTAACCTGCACAGGTTCAGGGGCCAAGCTCTTTCTCTGCTGGGCTGACTTCTCCATCGCCTCACTCAGCGACTCTGCATACTTCATCATAGCCTTGAGCTGTGAGTCAGTTAGCACCCAGAGCAGGTCATCCAACAGGAACATCAGCTTGGAGGCTATCACGTTGCAATCTTTGGTCTAAAGGGGCCACACAGAATACAGAATTCAACACCTTATATCACTCCAACTTCTCAAAGTGATTATCAATTTCAGAGATGGCTTTTTCTTTTTCTTTATATTTTATTATATATATTACACACACACACACACACACACACACCATCATTCTTCATTTTATACATTTTTTTCATCTAGGTTGTAATCCCCAAGGACTTCCCACCACCAATTCAACCATGTGCTATCAGAGATGGTCTTTCAATCCCCAGTATGTGAAAAGAAATTATCAAACATTTCTGAGAGTCAATTTCTTAAAAAACTACTACAGTTTTCTGTGACTAACAAGCAGTGGCAATAGTCAACTGCTAAGTACTGATGCCAGTGTCTCTATATATGGGTAAAAAAGTGGTTTCCAAAATTAAGATGATATGGAGGCAGAAACATTGTCTCACTAACAGACACAATCCAACACTGATTCACAGACATTCCCTACTCAATTGTTTTTCTAGGGGCCAGTAACAAAAAGAAAAATAAATTCCTGCATTGAAGGAGGATAAAAGGTAGATAAAAAGGGGAGATTAAAAGGTGTTCATAAGAAAAGGGAACACACTCACTCTTCTTTTGAGAGCTATTTGGATCCTTCCCTGGTTGGTAATAAGCCTCAGTGGAGTGGTGACTGGGTCCTGATCACCGTTGTCTGTGGCATCTGCCTCAATCCGAAGAGTTTGCCAAGTGATTTCCTTAAATGTTAAAACCTGGAAGGAGATAAGTAAACTCCCTTAATGCTAAAGATGAAAGGAACTAAGAGGTAGGAAGCCCAAGGGGAAAGGTTGACAAGGCAGAGCCTCCCACCATTCTCAGTTGAGATTCTACCAATATATTTAGTGGATCAGAGATCCATAAAAGAGATCCATAAATGACTACAACAGTAATAATGGACAGAAGGGATTCTTGGGATTCCAGGAATGGGGGAAACATTTGAAGAAATCCCCAAAGTAGGGATAAAACCCTTAAAGAACTGATTGAATTTGAAACTCCCGTTCTCTCTTCTTACAGTGATAAGGCTGTTACCTCTCCTCGGCGGGGGTCAGTGATGCGGGTAAAGCGAAGGTCACTCTGCTGCCAGTTGGGGTTGACACTGTAGCCCTGGAGCTGCCACAATTCAAAAGAAGCATGGAAGGCTTTGGAGTGAATCTTGATGGTGATAGAACTGACGACGATGAACATCCCCTCCACTACCTTCTCAGCAAAGCCATACTCGCTACAACAAGGGAAGCAGACCAGTGATCAGAACTGTATGAGCTTTATGGGGTCTTTATGTTGAAGACACCAGACAAGACTATTAAGTGTACCTAGCTCTGGATGCTAGGACCATCATTAGGTCTTTTGTTTTGTTTTTGTTTTTGTCTTTTTTTACATTTTGAAAAGACAGGCTTATTAGGAAAAGGAACAAGAGAAAAAGTGGCACTTTCATAGTCACAGGCAGGCAGGAGAGCTGTCTTTTCTTATATCTTTTAACTATCTAAAATTTATGATGATGTCATACTTTGCATTTTGATGTCATACCTTTTTTGTTTGTTTATAATAGTTTATTTTTACATCATTTTGTACATTTTTTTTTCATCTCAATTGTAATCCCTGTGGGTTTCCCATCACTGAGTTGATGTCATACTTTTTTTTTTTTAAAGGTAATCTGACTCCTGAGTACTTCTTTTTATTTCTTTTAAAGATTTATTTATTTATTCATACAGAACTGGGGTACAGGCCAGAGGCTCAGGGGCAGTGAGAGGCTTCACCAGAGACAGAATGGGGAACAAAACAGGCAGATCGATGAAGTACACTGCTGAGGGGAGCAGCAGGAGGGTCAGGAGAGGTAGGCCACGCCATGTGGTCACCTCCAGGGGCAGCGGGGATCGAACTCATGCGGAAGTGGCTTTAGCTTCTCAGTGCTGTGCTTTAACCCGCTGTGCCACCAGGGAGGGCCTGATGTCATACTTTTAATGGGATTTTTTTTTTCTTAAAGAGTGGAGTAAATGAGAGATTTAATCTAAAAATAAACCCCCTCCTGTTAAAAAAATAAATTAAAAAATCTTGGGCCTCCCTGGTGGCATACGGGGTTAAAGCATAGCAGTACAAAGCTATTTGCAGCCACTGCATTGAGAGTTCAATTCCCAGACAGGGAGCTGACCCACATGGCTCAGCAGACCTCTCCTGACCCACCCGCTGCTCTCCTCAGCAGTGTGTTTCAGTACAGCTGCCTATTGTGCTACCCCCTCTGTTTCTGGTGAAGTCTCTCACCCATTTACCTTGCACCTCTGGCCTAAACCCCAGTTCTTGTATGCATAAATAAATAAATCTTTTAAAATTAATAATAATAAAATAAAATAAATCTTTAAAAACAAAACAGAAATGTGTACATATGTGCACCAAGACTTAGGTACAATAATAGTTATAGCAGCATTATTTCTTTCCTCATTATTTAGAATTTACATACAGAAAAATTCAATTTTTTTGATGTATAGGTGTAAGGTTTTGAGAATTGCAGTGAGTCATGAACTGACTACCAAAGTCATGATAGGAAAAAGCTCTTTACTATACTTAATATCCAGAAAGTAGAAACAGACCAAATGTCCTTCTACAAAAGAATGGGTTGAATATGGCATGTAATGGGCTGCTATACAGTAGTAAGTATGAGTGAACTACAAATATATGTAACAACATGGATACTCCCATAAATGTGCTGGGCTAGACACAAATGACTACATATATAAAATTACATTTGTAGAATTTTAAAAGTAGTGAAAAGAGCACATGGTGTTTAAAATCAATATAAAAGTTATCCTTGGGGATGAGTATGACTAGAAAGGTTACAGGAGACTCTGGAACTCTAGAAATAGTCTGTTTCTTGAAAGTGTTAACACTGCAAATAATCATTGTGTTGTATGCTTTTAATTTGTGCGCTTCAATGTTAGCAAAAAAAAATGAAATAATATGGCATCAGATTAGGCAAAAATCCTACAATTTGGCGATATATTTTATACTGCAAAACTCTAGGAAAACAGGAACTCTTACCCATTGCTGGAGATAAAATTATAAAAATTTCTAGACTCTTTATAGTGGGGAATTTAACAATGTACATTAAAATTACATGCAGCGGGCCTCCCTAGTGGACTAGGAGTTAAAGTCCTAGCATTATGAAGGTATGGCCAGCCACTTTGGAGTGAGTTTGATCCTCTCAGCCTGTGAGCTGACCCACATGCACAGCAGACCTCTCGTCTTGCCCACTGTTCCCCTTGGCAGTATATTTCACGCAATCTATCTGTTCTGCTCCCCACTGTCTCTGGTGAATCCCACATACCTCTGACATATACCCTAGTTCTTGTATGCATAAATAAATTTTTAAAAATCTTAAAAATAAAAAAAAAAACATTTCCCCTTTGACTCAGCAGTCCCTTCTATGAATCTATCCCACAATAGGCTAGCAAAAATGCAAATGATCCAAATTGTCCATCAACTGATGAATGAATAAATAAAAAGTAAGCAGCCATACAACCAAGCATCTATCATTCAGTCATAAAAAAGAATGAGAGGGCCCTCCCTGGTGGCGCAGCGGGTTAAAGCACAGCATTGAGAATCTAAAGCCGCTTCCGCATGAGTTCGATTCCCGCCTG